CTACATAAATGCTATTGTCAGTATTATTATTATTACTTGCTCACAGTGGTCACACTTGTCACAGTACTTGCTAGTCAGAAGAAGCAGCAAAATTGAAATCCAAGTATAAGAACTCCAAATAATATTTTTACTATTCCAGGACTGCCTCAGTATAAAACATGATCCTTGGCCTCAAAGTTTACCATCTAGTTGGAAAGATATTAACACAGACTATATATGGAACAATGGCTTAAATAATAGTAGAATGCTGAGTTGTGTAATAAACTAGAAATGCTCTAGCAGTACAGAAAGAAGTTCAATGAGATCTAATAAGACTTAAGTCAGGCTTTGAAGGACAGTGGGGATTTGGGTCAATGAAGAAGAGTGGAATCTTCAAAAGAAAAGCACAAAGACAAAGACAAGTATGGCATGGTCAAGGGACAGTGAGTACTTGCTTACAAAGTATTTTCTTTACAATATCCCTGCAAGAATCACCACTCCCATCTGATGAGGAGGAAATTGTAGTTCAGAAAAGTTCAATAACTAGAAAGTATCCTAGATAGGACTAGAAGCTAGGTGTTCTGACTCCAAATCCAATGCTCTTTTCATTACATATGAGTTAAGAGAGTAGAAGCACATAATTGCATAACTTTGCTGTTATGTCTGAACAATTATGGAAGCAGAGGGAGATGAAAAGCAGACCTAGATCTTGTTAATCAAATATTTGATACATAGATATCCAAGTACTTTAAATGTATATTTAATGATTTAATGGATCCATGAGCTTACCGACATGGGTACTACTGTCAACAGTGCACATTATAAACCATCCATAGCTCTTCGTGCAACTCTTGCCCATGTCCTCTGGTAAACCTTTCATTGGGAGTCCACCAACAAGCCAGTGGCTTTCCTCTTGTGTTTTTTTGTTTTTTTTTGTTTTTTCTTGGCATTATGCAGCTAACAGGGAAGCCTGTGGGCAACATGGCAGGATGGAAAGACCGCTAGATTTGAAGAAATCTAAGTTCCAGTTCCGGCTCTGCTGCTTATGCCTCTATCACATTGGGCAAATCACTTAAACTCCCTTTGGGCCTCAGTTCTTCAACTGTAAAATGAAGAGTTTGGAGTAGATGAATTCTAAAGAATCCTCCTGCTCAAAATGTACAAATCTTCTATGGAAGATTTCTTGTTGGAGGACAGCCCTTAAGGTTGAGTTCTCCTCTACGAAGTACCTTTTTTTTTTAAATCAGTAAAAAAACATAGCAAGATACTGTTTTCTCAGCATTTTTCTTCAATTATGCGTGTATAAAATGAGGTTTGCTATTAAAAATTATTTACAAAAGTCTACTTATTCCCTTACCATTTTTCATCACATATTCTTGATGTGTGTAGGTTATTCTGATAAAGATTTGCAATGAGAAAGTCAGCATTATTTTTACATTACTTATATCTTCTCCATTACTTTTATTCATTGGGGAAAAAATCATGGATAAATATTATGCTAAATTACTCTCTTCCCAAGATCAATGCCTTCAAAATTGCATCATCTGCAGCACAGGTTTTCTCCATATGCACTTGGTTTCATTTGGCTGTTCATACCAGCATCATTTTCCTTAATATTGGTATTTTCTCATGGGAAAAATTCAGGTACCAAGTTTATTAATATCTTTCTCCTCTTTCAAGCTTCATAATAGATTCTTTTTTTTAATCATTTTTTTTTTAGGGGCTAGGCAGTGGGATTAAGTGACCTGCCCAGGGTCACACAGCTAGTAAATGTCAAGTGTTTGAGGCCAGAATTGAATTTGGGTCTTCCTTACTCCAGGGCCACAGCTCTATCCACTTTGCCACCTAGCTACCCCCATAATAGATTCTTCATGGAAGAGTACAGACAGAATATCCTACCAAAAGTCCATGTATTCTAGTGTTCATAATAGATAACTAGTGTAAGAAAGTGGATATCCCTTTCAAAAAACTTGTAACAGACAACTGGTTGGGGGAAAAGTAGGCAGTCTCATTGCCAGTATCAATGTAGTTTGTTTTTTTATTTCTTACTTTTCAGCATTAATAACTTGTTTGACCATGTCAACTTAGAGCTACCATTATTGAATGTTGGTTTTCTTCTCACCTTCAACATTGTTTCAGAACTTTGATCTAACAAGGCAATTATCTAAGTTTAAAAAAAAAAAACCTGATTCATAAAGCAGAAACTAGTCATTTATGATTATTAAAACACATTAGATTTAATTTTTTATCTTCTTCAGGGTTCTCCATATCTATTGCCTTCCAACTATATTCTTAAAGAAAGTATTCACGACATGAAAGCATGAAGCTTTTAGCATCTTTCATTTCTTAAATTTGAACCATATTTTTTTGCCTACCTCTCCAAATTCATCCTTGGAATGAAATCATCAAGGACTGAAGTATAAATTAACCTAAGTTCTTTGTAGATCTCTCTGAGTCTTCATCCTCTGAAACAGATGCTTGTTTCCACTTGACTGAAACTGCTGTCACCAACAGCTTTCTCACAAATCTCATATTTCTTGACCCTTCTGCGATATCTGACACCACTGACCTACCTCTTTCTGGTTACTCTAACCATTTGGGATTTTTTTTTCCTACCCAAGATTGTGACCATTCCTTCGTGGTTTCCTGGGCAGGTTCATCATCCATGTCCTGAGCCCTACGTGGGGGTGTACCCCAGGGTTTTGTCCTCTACCTCCTCCACTTCTCAAGTGTCTCTTTCTCTCTGGAATTTTATCAGTTCTCGTGGATTCAGCTTTGAAGTCTATTAAGATGACTCCCAAATGTATACATCCAATCCTCATCTATCTCCTCAATTCCAGTATCTAATCTCCAATCACCACTGAGCATCCTCAAACTCATATCCAAATGAGAACCCATGTTTCTTTTCCTCCAAACTCATCCTTCCTCTTAACAATTCTTTGGTCATCCAGGTTCACGATTCATTCTCAAATCATTCTTCATTCCCCAAACCCAATCAGTTGTCTAACTCTACTTCCTTAATTTTTTTTGCATCTATCTTCTTCTCTACACAACCATCTTAGCTCAGTACTTCATCACTTCTCACCTGGCTGATTGATTGCAATAGCCTCCTAATTGGCCTCTTTGCATCCAGCCTCTGCCTTCTATAATGCTGTCCTCATATAGCTGCTTTCTTAGGCTTGATACAAGCTAGCCCTAAATGCACATCTATAATCTAGAAAATTTAAATCAGTGAGGAATATAATTTTAAAAACATCTTTACTAATATAAATACTCAACAAAGACATATAAATAAACCTTCAGCAAAAAAATGCAGCTTCAACTTTCTAAATGCCCACCCACAGGGATGTAACTTGGGTCAATAAGCAACAGCCTGAACAGGAATAAATAGCTCATCAAATCCAAAGATACTTGATACCGTTTTACATAATTTTTTCCAAAAAGTAGGCCTTAAACCTATTACCCTTTGAAGAGTCCAAGACTAAGAACTTCCTGTGGGTTTTAAATCATATGCAACCTAATTATCCCTTTATGTCCCAAGGTTTGGGCTAAATAATGCCTAAGACAGATGCAAAACTCACATTGCTAAATTTTAGAGCCAAACATACGTTATCATCACTCTGCTTGATACTTTGGTGACACCCCCCCCCAATTTGCCTTTAGGACAAAATACAAACTCTCATGACCTTTAAAGACCATGACAATTTAGCTCTAGTCTATTTTTCTAGGCTGACTGCACATTACTCTATGCTGCAGTCAAACCAGCTTACTTACTGTTCCCCACACACGTCCTCTCCCCCATTCTTAGAATAAACTACTTTCTTATCTTCATTTCTCAGAACCCACAGCTCCCTTCAAGTACCACCTCAAACAAGAGAGCTTTCCTGACTCCCCCAAGTGTTATAACTCCCCCCCCAATTGCGGTGGCTTTGTTTTTTATGTAATCTGTATTTACTAACTTATGAATATGTTTGTACCCTAACCCACACAGTAAAACTCCTTGAAGGCAAGAGCCTATCTCATTTAATTCTTTAGCTACAATTTCTTCCTATTTTCTGCTTTCATTTACAGTAAGGACGTTAACACTGCCATGGTTTAGTTCCTCCAGCAGTATGTCCACTTGCCAGCTGCTGGAGAAGGATCTCACATGTACAGCATAAAAATTAACATTCACATTGGGTTTAAATAGCAGCCCGTGCTCCCCTTTCTACCACTGTGCCACCGCAGCTGCCAAAGGCAGACCGCCCAGGAGGGAGGGCCCTTTAATATTTTTTTCTTTACGTCATTGCCCAGCAAAAGCAGTCATCACATGGTGAGGCGCCTCCTCATACATTTCTAGGCCTGTCCTCAGCCAGCAGCCAGTCGAGAGCCGTAAATTATCCTACGGGTTTTTCCAGCTGGAGCATTTTCCAAGGCTTGTATCTCGCTTCGGGGCCAGGGTCACAGCCGAACCACGAAGAGCCGTGAGGAGTGGACTTGGGTGGACAATTTTTAAATGTATTTTTTCTAATTAAAAGCAAAATAAAAAGGGAGTGTGTGTGGAAATGGAAGGGGAACCCTAAGTCTCAATGTTTCCTCAGGTGTAAAGTAGAGATGAGAGTAGCCGTCCCCCCACCTCTGCCCCCTTAGAAGGCTGTAACGAATGTCGGATCTCCAAGCGCTGGATAAACCTGAGTTATTAAAAAGGCGAGGTGGAAGCAGCAGGAGGGGCCGAAGAGGAGAAGGGGAAAGGGGGGAAAAACGGGGGGGAGGGGCACAGAGACACAAGCGGGCGCGCCCCAGGGATGTGCGGAGGAGCTGCCGGACAGAGGAGCACCTCGGCGCCGGACCTGCCCTGGGGCATTAGGGTGGGGGGCTAGGGGCGACGAGGCCCAAGGGATCCCGCCCCCCCTCCTCACACCCCCCGCGCGCTTGGAGATCCTCGAAGGCAAGCCCCAGAGGCCCACGGGGGCGCTGAAGAGGGAAAAACGGACGCCCCAGGTGAAGAGGCCCCGCAGGTCTGCGGCCAGCCTCGCGCTTACCTGCAGAACGCACTGGAGAGCGCAGCAGCAGCTCGAGAGCGAGGGCGGCGGGTGTGCTTTACGGCACACGCCGCCGGCGTTGGAAGGGCCGCAGCCGCACTCCGAGGAGGCGGGGCCAGCAAGCCCCGCCCCCCGCCCGTGTCTCCGGAGCAAGATCTTCGCTGGATTCGGGAGCTGTCCAAATGTGGGCGGGGCGGGGCGGACCGGAGAGGCTCTGGGCGTCCCTGGCCTGCCGCGGTCTGTTCCGCTGGAGGCGGGGTGTTTGGGGTCGCATCGAATCCGAGAAGCCCCGGGCCTCTGGGGTCGTCTTCGAGTTCAGCTTCAACCCGGCGGGGATGAAAACGGCAAAGGAGCCGGTCAGAGAAACTGGGCCTCCCGGAACAGCCCTTGGGAGGCAGAGAAGAAAGAAAACGACGCTTCCCAATGATTCAATAAGTGTCCGTTAAACACCCACTATATGTTTTCGAAAGGAGAATTTTCAAAAACCGAATATGAAGGCTCCTTACCTTCCAGGAGTTTGTGCTCTAGTCAGGAATGTAAGTGCTACCAATTGGCTTGGGCCTATGGGTATCGATAAAGATAATAGATATAGATGTAAATAGATACAGAAATACATGTACACACATATACACATGTGTATCTATTTATGTCTATCACATATGCATTTTTAAATTTTAATTGATGCTTTTTTCTTTTTACATAACTCATTTCTCAACAACTCTCCCTTCTCTGGCCCACCTTCTATAAACACTCCCTAGAAACAAATAACTAGTTAAACAAAATACATCTATATCTTGGCCATGTTTGAAAATGTCCACTACATTCCATTCCTATGCCTCTCTGCTGACAGTCAAGAATTGTGTCATAGTCAGTCTTTTGAAGTCACTGCATTGATCCGAGTTCTAAAGCCTTTGGGTTTTTTTCTTTAACAATGAATTGTTTGCCTTGTTCTGCTTATTTTGTCTGCCGGTCAAGAGTCTTTTTTTTGCGGGGGGGCTAGGCAATGGAGTTAAGTGACTTGCCCCGTCAATTGTCAATTGTCAATTGTCTGGTCTGAGACTGAATTTGAACTCAGGTCCTTCTGACTGTAGGGCAAGTGCTCTATCCACTGTGCCATCTAGCTGCCCCCAAGAGTCTTAATAAGCTTTTATTAAGGGCCTACTATGAGCTAGGCACTATAAGACCTGAGGATACAAAGAACAGTATCTGTTCTCAAAAGAAAGACAACATGAAAGGAATGGTAATGGAGGATATACCAAAAAACAACTGTGTACAAACAAGATATGTACAGGATAAAATGGAGCTGACCAACAAAAGGAAAATACTAACATTAAGGGAAAATTGGGGAAAGCTTCCTATAGAAAATGAAATTTTAGCTGAGATTTGAAAGAAGCCAGAGAAATCAGAAGGTGGAGATGAGGAGTGAGATAATTTCAGGTTTGGGGAACAACCAGTAAAAATGCACAAAGTCAGAAGATGGATTGTTTTGTTGGAACTGTAGGGATGAATGGAAATGTAGGAAGGGCTTTGAATGTCAAACAGGTAATTTTATGTCATCCTAAAGGTGATAGGGTGCCACTAGAATTTATTGGATGGGGGAGAAGGGGTGACTTGGCTAGACCAGACCTGAGCTTTAGGAAGATCAATTTGACAGCTAAGTGGAGAAAGTCTTCCAAATTTCTGATTCTTTCATACTGATAAATTTTATAGGTTACAATTATCCAACAACATTCCAATACATTCATTAGGTTAGGACTTCCATAATGCAATGAACCCAAGACTGGATCTGGAGTCAGCAAACCTGGATTCAAACTCTGGTTTACCACATACTACTTATTGTTGTTTGTCATGACATCATGGGTGATGTATTGATTCATGCATGAATTGGATTTAACTGAGGCAGAATTGCACAAAATCATCAGCCTCACTCTTCTGGAATCATTGAAGTCAGTGGCAAGACAAAAGTCAAGATGACTGGTGTTGGCCTGGGATACAGTGGATGACCTTGGCATCTTCGATGCCTGACCAAGCTCTAAGCACTCTGGTGCCTACATCAGCCACCTACATGGCCGTTGGAACAAATTTTTCTCATCTGCCCATTCCTCCAGGGGAAGTCTTTACATGCTTGTGGTAGATACCACCCTAACTCAACAATGTTTAGCCCATTTGCCAAAACAGTTTATCAGGGTGTGGCTGCTGTGCATCCTACAGCTTCTTGGAGCCACAAGTGAGAGCTGAGTGCCAAGCAGGCACCAAAGGTGGATGAGCAGTGAAGAAAAGGGCTCGGCACACCATCACCAGAGGTGCTAGTTCTCCTTGAACAACCCATATACCCCATACTACCTGTATGACTGTAGGCAAATTACTTAACTTCTCTAGGCCTCAGATTGCTGATCAGTAAAATAGGAAAGTTGCACTGCTTTCCATTTTGTCTTTGTATCTCCCACACCTAGCATAGTGCCTTGTACATGGACACAATAAATTCTTATGAGGCTTGATTGCATTGGAGTGGAGGGTCTTAAATGAGAGGCTGAGGAATTTGTATTTTACTCTGTAGGCCAGTGGTGTCAAATTCACATAGAAATGCGGGCTACTAAACTATATGTAAGGATCTGAGTGTACATAATGCCTTAGGAAATCACATTAGCATTATCTAAGTTTTATTGCATTTTTATTCATTTTGTTAAATATTTATCAGATATACTTTAATCTGGATCCTGGGCACTATGTATTACTATGACTTGCATGTTTGATACCTCAGCTCTAGGCAATAGGAATCCACTAAAGGTTTTTGCCAGGGGAGAGACTTGTGTTTTAGGAAGATGATTTTGACAGCAGAATGGAAGATGAATTGGAAGAGAGACCAGAAACATTAAAAACAATTAGAAGCCACTTAGGAAAGAGGTGCTGAAGGCCTCGGTTAGGGTGCTATCTGCTGGAGTAGAAAGATACAAGAGTTGTAAAGACAGAATCAACAAATCTTGACAACTAATTAGATGAAGGAGAGGAGTCAACAATGATTCCAAGGTTTTGAATCTGGGTACCTGCTAAGATAGCAGTATCCTCAATGTAATAAGGATGTTTTGCAGGGAAAACATAAAGAATGCAAAGGAGATAAGGTATGAAGAGAATTTTGTTAGTAAAGTAGGGTTTCCAGAGGGCACAGTAGATAGAGAGGGCAGAGACCAAGGAGTAGTAGGATTGAACAGGATAGGGATGAGATTCCAAGAAGAGGTTAACAGGGAAAGAGAGTTTTAGTCACGATGGGTGGCAACACTGAATCACTAGGATTCAGGGAGCAGGAGGAGTTACTTTTCAGGGTCCTGTTATTACGGAGGGTTGTATAACACTTTAAATACCAGGGAGTTGGGGGTGGGAGGTGGGGTAGTGGCGGCCAGGAGTTTAGGTCTCAAATAGGGGTCTCCAGGGACTGGTGGACTAAACTTACAGTTCAGTAGTTATATCCCAAGATGGCAGTGGATACATCCAGAAGATATGCTAAACAGAGCATGTACTTGACTCTTTGTAAGGACTGATGTCTAAGATCCTGTCCTTTAGGTATTCAATCCAGTGTCTGAGGTCCCTGGTAATGTTAAGACTAGGCATTTGCCTGATATCTCAGGCTTTCTGGCTCTGGTGGTAGTGACTGAGGCCTCACTAAGCTTTTACGGTCCCTTCAAGCATCTTTTCATGATGTGCATTGGTAGCAAGTGGGCTGATTGTGTAACAAGAATAAGAGTCAACAAAGAAGTAAACTGATGCCCTTAAGATACTTCTTGTTTTTTACCCTTTGTTCTTGAAGTATTCCAATGACATCATGAGGCTGATGTCTTGACTTGTGCATGAATTGGATTTAAGTGAGGCAGAACTGCACAATGTCATTAATCTCACTCTTTCCTCCAGAGTCATTGGAGTCCAGTGGCAAGACAAAAGTCAAGACGACTGAAGATGGCCCAGGATCTCTTGAGATACCAAAGGAATCAGAAACACAGGGTATCTCAAAAGTCTTAGTGCAGTTTTAAGCACTTAAAACTGCACTAAGATTTTTGGAACTTTCTGTATGTCTAACATGCTGGAAATATTTATGAGAAAACATAAGAATTACACAAGATGTGGAAGAGATGTTATCTACATTGCTGTAAATAGTACATTTACTTAGGGAAAAAAAACACGTCCAGGAAATTCTCAGTATCAAGTACAGTTTATTCCAGAAACTGAGGTACAAGGGATTAACCATGAGTTGATATCTTTGCCATAGAATCATGGCAAAGCTAACAATAGTTTTTCAGGATATCGTACAATATTTTCCAAAATTTCCTTCAAATTACTTCATTATGGAGTAGAAGTTATAAATAGTATTTAAGATTACAGCTTAAATTTAAGATTCCATAAAAATATTCCTGAAAGTTTTCAACTTCTTGAATGTTGCCAAGTTGACAAACATAAATAGATACTTCCCATCATGTTATTGAAGCTAATGAGAGTAAATAAAGCTAGTGAGATAAATTAACAAAGAGTTAAGAGTTATGGAAGTGACCTACATAGATCATTTAGTCCCACCATTCATTTGGAGCAAAATTGACTATTTTTTTTTAATATCCTTAACAATATCTAGTATATCCTTGACACAGTATAAATGCTAAATAATTGTTGAATGTAACATAAACGTTCTAGCCTCTTCTTGAGCCTCAAAAAGACATTTTCATATTCTTTTCTCGTGAATGCATATCTTTTAGAACTATTGACAGGAAGCTGTTTCTAATATTACCTGTTACAAGTCTGTCCTTAAGTAAAAATAAAAAAAAATTGTTACCTAATGTTCTTTTGTGTAAATTGTCATTCTTTTCCAAGTTCAAATGTTCTCAGTTCTTCTAACTTTTATAGGCATTAATTTTCTAGTCATCAGTTCATTTCTAAACCTCCAAAATGGAAGTCCAAGAATAATTGCCAATTTAACATTGTCTTAACAACTTTATATAAAAATGGAACCCAGAAACGTAAAGATGGAAATTGAGTTTCTGCCTTGTATTATAGTTATTTGTTCAAATTATCAGTCCTATAAACT